AACTCGATTTTTTTTTTTTTTTTTTTTTTTTTTTTAAACGTAAGAAGATCACGCTGTGCTAAGTACGTATTACAGATAGCAATTACAGTTAATGCAACCCATGCGGTTTTTTTAACCCAAGTTTCTCATAACTGCGATTTGTTTCAGATCAGACGCGAATACGGCTGCTACGATGAAGTCTTCTTTTCGAATTACAGTCTTAACAAGCGCCAGTGCAATTGGATAAGATTCCTCCGTATAGTTCAGTCTTACGACGAACAAGTAAACTTAATCGGTACCAAAGTGAAAGGTAAGTTAATGTATGCGTCGAAAGAAGAAGAAAAAAGATTAAGTAAATCATGAGAATCAACATGATGCAGCAAATGATAGCGTACGTGCACGTCAGTCGTGATAAATTTTCCATGCAAATTATTCATGTTGCTAAGTTTTCTGCCACTCAAAATTAATATTACGTTTGCTGCATTTCAATTTATAAATATCTGCTTAGCGAACTGCCCTGCGACATACAGTAACGAACAACGTTCCATATTTTCATCAGCTGATTTTCCTTTCTTGGCTCTCGTTTTCTCGTCGCCTGAACAAACTAACGCTACTTTGAATATCTAAATTTGAGATCAGTGTTACGCACATGTGACACATTATGTAATCTAGATTACACATTAGTCACATCGATCTGTCTGTACGATTCTGTATGTGCATAAGTAACTAAATTATCGGCGAATAATTATCTGTACGTGAGAACTCGAGGAATGAAATTGAAAACAGTTAATTTCATGGAGATTTTTGCTAATACAAATAACTACATTGTTAGTATAGTTTATACGTAGAAAGTTTAATATTTCTTGTCGTTATTATAATTTAGTGGATGATACGTTTACTTCGATAAAATCCAATTAACACTCCTTTATTAATTAACTAACTTCGCATTTTCCATCAATGCGAATTATCAACGTACCTTTTATTCTTTCTGTTCGTTTATGCAATTCAGGGGATCCAATCTTCGAAGTAATAAAAGATGTCCAACCGGATACAGAATTAGTGGCTTGGTTTCTTCCTACGGCAGAACAAGATTTCGTCTTTATATCGCGCGACATGTGTTCGAGGTCTGCTCTGTACAGATGCACCATTGACTCCATTCTAGATGGTGAGTCTCTAAAGACTTTTAGCTTGAAATAATACAAAGAATCGACACGGAGTCTGGTGAACGGACAACCTCTCAAATACGTCAATTTGCATTGTTCATACGTTTCCCAAACGCATTTCAAATCATCTTCCATCTCTCTGTACTCTGATATACGTAATATAACTAAAGCGAAACAAAACCAAGACTATAAAATACCTTTGCGAAAGGTGAAAAGCACGCGAAACTTGCGAAAGAGTCACTTGGCAAAGACAACTAAGAAAGCTTATAAAGATCTACAAAAAGAAAGATAGAAACTCCGAAGCTTTGCTCGAGAACGTTTCATAGACGCTACGGACCATTCTCCTTGTTCCTTTGAAGGATTTATCAGAACGCTATGCACGCGAATTCGTTTTATACGTAGGTTGATGCGTTCGAGAAGAATCGCTCTGAAAGACCAATGAGCGAAAGAGGCAGAACGGTGGGACTGTGTTCGGTGATCGAAATCTTGAACGGGTGCAATCGCGTTAATCGGCGCAATCGCGGGTCAATCGAAAAAGAAGGTAAAGAAAGTCGGCTAACAAATCTGAAATGCAAATATGCGCCGGTATTTTTGTCGGCTGGATCACAAGGTGCTCGTTCGTTCGCTCATGATTCAAATGCGCAGACCCCCGCGCTTACCGGGGGATATAAAGGACAGTACAATGCCAGCGAACCTTCAATTCCGAAGAGGAGGGCTCGCCGACCGAAGAGGAGAACCGCCGGATAAACGGGTGACCATGAGGGGGATGGTCGGAGTCGCGACCACGGATATTTGCTAGGAGATCCTTGGCCTTGAAAGAAACCGAGAAAATTATTATATCGGATAAGGTACAATTGCACCAAGGCCGAGGACAGGGTGAAGTTTCGCGTAAAGACGAGTGGGTATCTCCAAATCACGAGCGCAAGTATCTCCAAAGAGGAGAAGAAAACGTTGTATCTCGATGGAATTAGAACGTTATGAAGCATCATGGTACGCAGACGCGTGCAAAAATTGATGTGGCTTAAATGTTATGTTACGTATCGACGGAATATTCGCTTGACGATTAAAGCTTCTAGGTATCAAACCCAAATGTGGGGTACAAATATCTTCAAACGTTTATTTTAGCGTAAATACCGCTTTTTAAGGATATTCATTCGGGATAACGATTTTAGGAATTGAAAGAAAAGAAACACTGTTTTAGTCAGGCTATTTGCAACGTTATTGTTTAAAGCGATACATAGTTACACAGATGCAGCATGTTTCTTGCAATCAGTAGGAATCTTTTGCTCCTATAAATACACGAGGGACTTGATGAAAAAGCAGCGGAATCGCTTGTTTTTCCAAAAGTGACACGAGTACAGAGAACGATATATAAGATTTGTATTTACCTAGCGGATTTTGTTATAAATTTCCAGACCTTTGCGAACACGTATCGAAATGCGTTTTAGCGCTTGGAAGCAAAAAGAACGTTGACAAACGAAAAGTTGAATAACTTTCTCTGTTGGAATTTAACTTTGTAATTTTCTCGAATCGAAGATTTTTATCTGTGTCTCTTTTCTTTTAAGTCTCTCGTTTAACAAGATCTCAAAGATAGCGTTTAATAACCAGATGTTTCGTTCAAGAATCCCCATTAGACTTATCCATGGCGTTGCTTTCTCATCATTCGTCATCGACAATTTCACATCCGTACTACGAGGTAGACGAATACGAGTCTACGTCTGAAGAATCCTCGTCATCGACGTTATCCTTGACAGGGGATCATTTAGATTGCAGTATTTTAACGACGATTAAGAGAGGAGAAAGGGTTCTGTTGCCGTGCGAAGTCTGCGGGAAATCCTTTGACCGACCTTCCCTTTTAAAACGTCACATGAGAACGCATACAGGTGAGTGAAATATCGATCAGTGCCTTTCAAGCAAACAATTCTAATTTTACTCGATATTAACGCTATATGAACGTTGTATCATTTGCACGAAAAACAAATAACGCGAAGCAATGGGATTTAGAACGAGGAGAAGAATTTGTCGAATAATTAACGATAACTGTGCAGTAAATTTAAAGACCAGTAGTGGCATAATTTACGATTACAATTTCCAATGACAGTGAGGAAATTTTTATTTCTATGTAAGAAAGAATATTTTAACGTAACTCGATCGAAAGGGCTAACAGACGATTGTGTCTAAAAACGTAAGCCTTTCGACGGTTGAACATCGGCCAAGTAATTTGATTTTGTTGTTAAATTGAAGGAGAGAAACCGCATGTTTGTATGGTGTGCAACAAGGGTTTCTCAACGTCGAGCTCGTTGAATACGCACAAGCGAATCCACAGTGGTGAAAAACCTCATCAGTGTCTCGTTTGCGGTAAGAAGTTTACGGCCTCTTCCAACCTCTACTATCATCGTATGACTCACATCAAGGTAAGTTTCCAACAAGCTGCTCTCACTGAAAAAGATAAATATTCTTATATTGCGAGCATAGCCTATCGATACTCTTTCGCTAGTTACTCGGAGTACTCGTCGAAGCTTAGCAACGTGTAGCATCGTAGCTCGATGTAAAATGTGGTCTTTAATTTTTATCCATGAACCAATGATATCACATAATTATAGAAAATACCTTGCGAAACAACATTTCATTCCTTAATGAAATTACAACGTCTATTTCACCAATGACATTGTTCGAAGGGTTCCTCGTCCGGAGTTTTAACGATGATCGGGGTACAATACGTAAGAGATTAATAAATCATTGATCTATCCTTTTGACTCGTCAGGATCGATCGTGTTATGCGTTGCATTTATGCGCTAATGTTTCGTCAACGTTATAACTCACTTTTTCAGGCTGCAGCTGTAACGTTTACACAAAAGCGTGTAACACGATCGATGCTGAAGACCCAATAGCGTGACGCCCGTCGATCATCGCGCAAGCTAAAATCCAAAATTCATCAATTTGTCACTAGCTCGTCGTTACTTGAATCGGCCACGTAACTGGTTGCTTAAAGCGTCCAGATATTTATCAGCGATACTATCACAAAGTGACAAATATCTAAAAAAAAAAAAAAAAAAAAAAAAAAAACACAATACGTAAGAGATTAATAAATCATTGATCTATCCTTTTGACTCGTCAGGATCGATCGTGTTATGCGTTGCATTTATGCGCTAATGTTTCGTCAACGTTATAACTCACTTTTTCAGGCTGCAGCTGTAACGTTTACACAAAAGCGTGTAACACGATCGATGCTGAAGACCCAATAGCGTGACGCCCGTCGATCATCGCGCAAGCTAAAATCCAAAATTCATCAATTTGTCACTAGCTCGTCGTTACTTGAATCGGCCACGTAACTGGTTGCTTAAAGCGTCCAGATATTTATCAGCGATACTATCACAAAGTGACAAATATCTAAAAAAAAAAAAAAAAAAAAAAAAAAAACACACACACACATTTGAAAATACGATTAAGTTAAAGTATATGAAAGAGAAGAAGAAAAGGTAGATGGATCCCTTTGAGAATCGGTGCAGACCGACTCCCTTCAGGGAGTTTATCTTCATTTTAGCCGTAGTTATCCCAGTCGGTGTAAAGCTGGTTGTGATCGGGAAAACGCAAGGAAACCGGTACGCGAAGCGGTAACGCGAGGCGCGAGTGGTAAAAGATCGGTCGGAGTTTTTATTTATCAGAGCGGAAACCCCCGTATGAGTTTCTCTAATCCAGCGAAGTAATGATATCTCGGGAGCCATATAGGTTGCTCTTGCCATCAGCTACTGTAATTGGTCCATTACTCGCTACTGCTTGGAATGCAATCCAATTAGGGAGACGGAGAATATACCCGGAGGCAGACTCTTCTGGTTCTCTCTTCGATCTTATGTTAACATCGCTTTCCGCCTCTATCTCTCGTCTACCTTCGCCGGTGTACTATCTCCCCTGCCATCTTTCTCCTTCGTTTCTACTCACTTCCATTGCCTTCCTCTTTCACGTGCTCCGCCGCTCATCCCACTTACCCTTGCCACCTTTTCATCGTGTTTTCGCGAGACCACGCGTTCTTTTATTGTCGTTCGGCAAGTCGATCCAACTGGGATAACAAATACGACGCGTGTCTTTCGACTTTGTCTTTCACACTCGATGGTAGTTTTGCGTATGGGGAAAAATCAGTTTGCTGATTTCCATCTTTTAGAATTCCGTTTATTAGAATATATAGGATATTCGGCAAAATATAGTTGCTGCTGTCGAGCATGTGATCCCGTGGATATCTTTCAGCATCGTTTGTCCCTTATGACGTTGCGATAAACGTATGAAAAGTATGATCCGCGGATTGCTTTTCTCCTATTTCAACGCTTGCAAATTCTATCCTTTCTTTGTTTTTAATGGAAGAATTTTTTTGTGAATTTAGCAATCTATCTGTTGGTTGTATCGATTCTTGTATGACAGTATAAAAATATAAAAAAGTACAAGACCATAATATAAAAAATAACAGTATACGAAAAAGTACGTGAGCTTGGATGGGAAATAGGAGATTTTAAATATTAAAATACTTATGCAGGAAAGAAAATGATAGGAGTGTTCGATTAGCGACCACGACAAGTCCCATTAATTCTTTTAAATATTTATCGTGTTGGTAAAAATTGATTGGATCTTTAATCAAATGCAAAGCAATTCGTATTGCGAGTTCCTTTATTCGTTCAAAGTTAACAGCTTTAACTCCAATTTATACAATAACGAACAGCATTTGTTTCTGTATAAATTTCTTCGCAATCAATGCCGTTCTTTTATGTTTCTTTCTATCTATTACAATATCATTTCATCGTAGATCGGTATAACATTTCATAGATTTTTATTATACTTTTGCGAGTTGGTGAAATAAAAATAAGTTTAGAATCTTATCTTTATTTAGGTAGTAGTTTGTACTATAGAAGAAATGTTCTATATTTTGCGCTAGTGTTCAATGAAAAGAGACAAAATATGCGGGTTACAATAATATTTATCGAACTTCCTTTAAGATATTCCTCATCGAAGATTCTCATAATCGAAGTGTACGTATTTCACAGTATTTTCCTTGAAGTAAACTTAGATATAAATATTAACCATCAAACGCTTGAAAACGACGAGTAATAGTACATAGTACGCAACAAGTAATGTCGTTTTGAATTTACTATAAAACTTACAATCTTATCTTACGAACGAAACTAAAAGTTGTACAAGTTGAAATTACATTGTTTCGCAAAACAGTGATTTGTTTCAATTTATTCGTAGTATAAATTCGCAGTGAAGGGTGCTCTTACGTTTATGTTTCAGGAGAAGCCACACAAGTGTTCACAATGCTCCAAGTCGTTCCCAACACCGGGAGATCTTAAGAGTCATATGTACGTGCATAATGGGCTATGGCCATTCAGGTGCCATATTTGTAGCCGTGGTTTCAGTAAACCAACTAATCTTAAAAACCACATGCTGCTACATCTTGGCAGGTGTTCGAACAAGAAGATTGTCAAATCCATTTCCGACTACTGACCAATCGATAACGGCCCCCTCGATAATTTAGAAAATCCATCGAGAAATCTATACGTATTTTGTTATACTATTGTACGAGATAGAAATGAAAGTTACTCGTCTAAACGTCTCTCCCTATTTATATCGCTGTTTAAAGAAACACGTACGCAAAGTTTGCGCACAATACAGTTTGACGCACAATTACACTTTAATCTTATTGTTAGTAACGTTTTCAATTGCTCATTACATTCAGGTAAAATTAGTATGTAAGTACGTAGTGTTATCACGCCATAAGATCCATTTTCGTTAACTTTTATATCTTATTTAGAACAATTAATTGAATGTTATTTTTATAAAATTTCTTTATTGTTCCTCGAAGTTAATTAATACTGTTTACAAAGTGTTACGTTGATTATTATTGTAGTGATTAGATCGTGTTAAGATAGATCTATGTACGTAAGAGAAATCACATGAACTTTGAGTGAAACGTTCATTTCTTATGATATAGGAAATTTAAGAAATATGCATTGAGGAATAAACGCGTTGTTTCGCATTTCTTGTACGCGCGTGTTATTAACTACGAGAATCTAAATGAAAGAAGGAAAAAGTTACCCTTACATCGAGTGCTTGCCGGTTCATGAATTTTCATCGTTCCTGACAATTTCATATCGTTCAACTCAATGAAGAGAAGTAATTGCCTTTTTACCTCGTTCCAATATTTGTTTCGCAATTACAGCGAATGACCTATGCATACCTTTGGTAAAATTATGTGATGTTTAAAATAATCTTTATCTTTTTAGATTTCGTCATAGCAGAATAACAATCAATATCTAAATGAATAAAAGTCGTTAGTACTCGTAAAATTAATCAAAGTTTAGTTACGATGAATAATGTATGCCTTTGTATTCTCTTCTTTTCACTTACCTTTGGCTCATATTTCATTCTTTTTGCTCATGCTAATATTTAATATAAGTTTTGTATTTATTGCTAATTACTTGTATTATAAAAGCATCATATTACTAAATAATCAGAGTGAAAATTGTATGAACCTCATAAATAAAAGAAAAACTACGATTATTTAAAGCACAAGTCGTGGTAATCGCAATCTTCAATGGAAAATTGTTTTTAACTAATAATTGTAAAATAAAATTGAAAAATTATAACGAAACATTTTAATATTTTAAATTAATCTAATTACATGATATACATACATAAAGAAAACACCAAATAGTCCTATTTAAGTTCACAACAAAAATATTATAACATTTTTAAAACAAAATTATATTTACATGTAATGTATTAATATCTGTTTAATAATGTTAGAATTTATCACTTTCATTCATTTAGATTTGATCTCCAATTTAAAATATAACAAACATAATTTTATGTATTTACACCATTTTCTTATAATATTTAGTCGATATACAAAATAATGCGAAAATATTTTTCTCCTAAAGGTATCAATAAACGGAACACAATTTGGAGATATTTAGGTGTAATTTTTGTGTATAGACTTCCTTCACAAGTAGATCATTTTTAGATCATATTATTTACAACTACAGACAAGCTCCACCACTGATGAGACCAGGTTTTGTATCAGTAGGTACTTGTTTCTGGAAACAATCATCCAAAAATTGAGCCATTGATAAGTAGAGGTGACCTTTCACTCCTGCTAATGTATGACCCACGTCTGGATACACCTGGAAACAAACAATTAATATTGTAAAAAGCAGGATGATCTAAAGTTATGTATTCATCGCGTAGAATGGTCGTATGCGTTTGTTAACATCTAAAAATGTCTACCTGTTGTCGGAAAAGTATGTCTTTTTTTGCAAGGTAATGCGTAAGTGCCATGGATTGTTGAAATTGGACGTTATCATCTGCAGTGCCATGCACTAAATAAAACATTTTATTTCGTAAATTTTCCACTTTCTCATACACATCTGACTCGGCGTATCCTTTATAATTTGCTATAACATCTGGTAAACCCATGTATCTTTCAGCATATGCTGAATCTGTTTAAATATAAAAATTAAGTTTCTTAATTAATACGAATAATTTAATATAAATTTAAGAAAATAATAAGAATTCAAAAATATTGAACTCAAGTAGCGTACCATGAAGTTTCCATGAAACAATAGGTGCTACACTTATACCACATTCAAAGACATCTTGCCCAGGATGCGCCAGCGCAAGGGCAGCTACGAAACCTCCATAACTCCAACCCCAAACAGCCACTCGTTGCTTATCCACGAAATGCAATGAATCCCGCAAATATCTAAAAATTTTGGATAACTTGATAAAATATTAATTTTATTTATACTAGCATTCGGTAATCTAACGTTTTTTCTGAAAAAGTTTTTCTTACTCGGTCACTTCAAGTTGATCAGCAACTTCTACAGAGCCGAGTCTATAGTACACTTCGTGAAGAAACTTATAGCCTTGGCCTCCGCTACCTCTCCCATCAATTTGTGCAACAATCATATTTTTTCTACTAGCCAAATAAGTATTCCAATCAATTTTAAACGTTTCTGTTACTAGCTGTGAACCTGGTGCACCATACCTAAAAATAAAAATATTTCTGATCTCATATGCTTCCTTCCTAAAATAATGTTAGAGTTTAATATTGAAGAATATACTTACACTTGTACAATTAATGGATATCTGGTGATTTCATCTTCTCTTAGCCCTGGTGGTAAATGCAATTTTACTTGTGCATTATATCCACCACTTATTTGAACAGGAAATGTTTTTATTTGTGGGAGTGCAAGTTTAGCAACTCGTTCCTAAAACAAATCTTTAATTTTATATGTGTTTTCACTATTTTATACTTCAAGTATAAAAGTATAAAAATTATTACAACTTACACGTAATAATGTATTATTCTGTAAGACATAGATAAGACGTGGCATAGGAAAATTAGTTTTATATAAAGTAACAGTGGGTATACCAGGCCCATAACATTCCAAAACAAAATAATCAGTTCCAACTAGTGGGAAAATAGCATTGTGATATTGACAAGGTTGATCGGTAAATTCTGAAAATAAAAGAAATATTATAATATTGTAATTATATAAGTCAATCATTAATTCTTCCTTAAAAGGCGCATATACGTGTATACTTACCTGGCGTAATGGATGCTTTCGCTTTCTGTTTCTTTGTAACATTTTCCTTTGGCTGTCCAACATATTTATCTTGTATACTTTCTGTTTGTGTTTCATAATGATCATGTATGTAATTATTGTCAGACCAAGCACTATGATGACCAGATGAAGCTGTTCTATGTTTATTTCGATTTCCTTCTGACGTTGCTGTACAAGTAACACAAACAGCAGGATGTAGAGACGAACCCACGTGTGGTAACAATGAACTCACATAATAAAGATGCCTCTGTCCTGGTCTCATAGGTGGAATACCTATAAAGTATCTATATAGAGGAAGTAAATTAGATTCAAAGAAAAATATTGTTTGGATATAGTAATGATCAATCGACGTTTAATAAACAATAGAATTTGTTACTTACATGGTATTATTAGGCTGATCCCATGCTACTATTTGTGTAACTTCAAATTTTCCATGAGTAAGTGGAACGACTAATTTTTGGGCAACATTTACCCAAACAATATGTTTGAAATAACCAGTTGGACCATCTTTTATTGGGCTTATAGCAATGTAACTACTGCCATTTGCTGAAAAAATAGGTGCCTCTGGAGGAGTATCTACCCAACCACGACCTTCAGCTGCTATCTTTTGAATTTCCTACATGAAATGATAGAAGTAGATTTATAAATGAAATAATTATTTGATAAATAAAATGACAATAACTGGAATAACTGCAGTGTACCTGACAATGCCACGATGGGCTCTTGCAAATAGTCACAACAGAAAGATTTTGTGCACGGGTCAACCATGTTATGCAGACTTCCGTTGAAGAAATCCAAGAAGCCGTTGTAAAGTAATGTTCTCTGTTAATGGATATAAATATTGATAATATCTATAGCTAATATTGTGTATAATAATATTTCATAATTAATTTAATTTACTGAGTGTTCGATTAAAGCAATTTGCATGATATTTAATAGCAATTAAATCTATAAGAATGCAACTTAATATATTACTACGATTAGCTGATTATATCTATGCAAAATAGTAAAACTTAACTATTATAATGATAATAAAACACATATGAATTGTTTCTTTAATGACCTAAATTTCCCTGTTGTTTATATTCTTTTAATTATAAAAAGGAAGCTATGTTATATTTTTCAAGATAGCAGAAAGAAATGAAAGCGAATGAAAAAAAATGTCTATAATGCACACTAAAATAATTCGTGAACTAAAATTGCTAAGCTCAATTAAATAATCATTTATGTGCTAAAACTCAAAATATTTTCTACATATATCACATTAGCGGGATTAAAATGAGATGATTTCTAAGATTAACTCTATGAAAATTAATTCTTCAAGAACTTTCCAAATATTTAAATTATTAATTATAATAGGCACACACAAAAACACTTACAAATGTATATAAATACTATATGATAAATGTGTAAAAAATCCATATATGCATAAAAGTATATGAATAAAATAATAATTTAAAAATGTTTACATGTTCAACAAAATTTTATGAATCATGTCTTGGTACAAAATGATGTAAATTCTGTTAACGCTCGTTTATCAAAATTATTTTAAAATTAAATGCATAATATTTTTAATGCTTTTTAGTTTAACTAAAAGAAAACGCATCAATGCTAATATTTTACAAAATGGTACAAAAAACATTTGTTTGTCGTAGAGATCGTGAAATTTGCTACACAAATATTAGATCAAAAACATTTTACTTTAAGAAATAAAGCAGAGATTTTCCTACTCAAGTTTATTTTAAACTAAAAAGTATTCTTAAAAGCCAGCTCATTTTAAACCAAGAAACTACTCCTCATGTATATCTTAAAGTATCTTGCCGAAAGAATATGCTTCCTTTTTTGAAGTACCTTGGGAGTGTCACCACAGAAACATCTAAATGTTTCTTGTAAAAAACAACAAAGTGCAATCTCTATTCAAGACATTTTGAATTTTGTTCATTCTTTTTTTTTTTTTTTTTTTGTTAAGACGAATAATTACACCTAATGAGGAAAAATTAATAAGAGAAAATTTGTTCAAGCACTTCATACTCCAAACTTTGTAAGTAAACTCACACATGCTCGATGATAGGTGGCGGTTTCACTACCTTCGTATGAATGTTTTTTGGATCTGCCAAGTCTGCTACATAGAGTCGTACCATA